CCTTGGCGTTTCGTTTCTACGAGAAGCCGGGCTTGCACTGCGTGCGTGCTTCGCAGGACACAAAATCACGGGAGCTTCTTTCGTTAGCATTCCCAGTGTCCAAGGGCAACTGGTGTCGGGCTCTGGGCAGGGCAGCGGGATGGGGCTGTCGACCCCACAGGTCCCTCCGTGCCTGGCTCACCAGTTTGTGGTCTTGGTTGGCAAAGCCGCTTTGCCCGTGGGCATCGCTGCCCGGTGACCCGCAGAGCCTGGCTCCAGCACCTTGGGGTGCCCCTTCCCGGGCTCCCCACAGCTCCAGCACCTAGGGGTGCCCCTTCCCCACAGGTCCAGCACCTCGGGGTGCCCCTTCCCGGGCTCCCCACAGCTCCAGCACCTCGGGTTGCCCCTTCCCCGGCTCCCCACAGCTCCAGCACCTCGGGGTGCCCCTTCCCGGGCTCCCCACAGCTCCAGCACCTCGGGTTGCCCCTTCCCCGGCTCCCCACAGCTCCAGCACCTTGGGGTGCCCCTTCCCAGGCTCCCCACAGCTCCAGCACCTCGGGGTGCCCCTTCCCCACAGCTCCAGCACCTCGGGGTGCCCCTTCCCGGGCTCCCCACAGCTCCAGCAACTCGGGGTGCCCCTTCCCCACAGCTCCAGCACCTCGGGGTGCCCCTTCCCGGGCTCCCCACAGCTCCAGCACCTCGGGGTGCCCCTTCCCGGGCTCCCCACAGCTCCAGCACCTCGGGTTGCCCCTTCCCCGGCTCCCCACAGCTCCAGCACCCCGGGGTGCCCCTTCCCCACATCTCCAGCACCTTGGGGTGCCCCTTCCCGGGCTCCCCACAGCTCCAGCACCTCGGGGTGCCCCTTCCCCACAGCTCCAGCACCTCGGGGTGCCCCTTCCCGGGCTTCCCACAGCTCCAGCACCTCGGGGTGCCCTTTCCCCGGCTCCCCACAGCTCCAGCACCTTGGGGTGCCCCTTCCCCACAGCTCCAGCACCTCGGGGTGCCCTTTCCCCGGCTCCCCACAGCTCCAGCACCTCGGGGTGCCCCTTCCCCACAGCTCCAGCACCTCGGGGTGCCCCTTCCCGGGCTTCCCACAGCTCCAGCACCTCGGGGTGCCCTTTCCCCGGCTCCCCACAGCTCCAGCACCTTGGGGTGCCCCTTCCCCACAGCTCCAGCACCTCGGGGTGCCCCTTCCCCCCAGCTCCAGCACCTCGGGGTGCCCCTTCCCCACAGCTCCGGCCGGGCTGGCAGCCACCAGTGGAAGATTTCACAGCGGCATTTTTGCCTTTGCCTTCCTCCTCCTCTTCCTCGAGCCCCTCACAGCTGCGCTGTGCCGACATCAGAGGGTGGGATTTGATTGGATTTTGGAGGGGGAAGCAGGGACCACCCCAGCTCTGAGGGAGTGAACGCACTGCCTGTTGCTGGTGGTTGCCATGCAGCCGTCTTTAATGATAGAATAAATTTCCCAGTGCTTCAGTCTTTATAAACAGAAGTTTTACAGGCAATACTTATCAACTGAAACGCTCCTAGGTATTTTTCAGGATTTATAGCTATTTGTAATGCATGGGCAGTCTCGGTTCCTCTCTTCTGAGGAAGAAAACAGAGAATAAGAGTTACTGTTGCAGAAAATAAGATGAATTATTAGTAGGAATATTCAATTTAATGATGCTCAGCAACAAAAAAAACCCCTGAGCTTATATTAGAGGTGTGTGAAGTTCACAAGGCAACCAAAACTCAGATGGGCTTGCAGAAATAAAATTAAAAGTATTTCCTGCGGATGCCTTTCACGCCGATGGGGCTGCAGATGCTGGAACTGATGCAGTCCACGTCAGCCACTGACAGCTCCTGGTTGCACTGGGGTTGTGATTCTTCCAAGGCGGTGTGATACGGTCCTTTTTTTCATGTGAATTGTATTGAAAGCTATTAAATGTGGGCAGTTTAGAGCAAATTTTCTTCGAGAATGAGAGGCGTGTCCCGAGAGGCGATGGAGTCTGTGGTGGCTGGGAGCGGTGCACTGTTGTATTTTATTTTTTTATTTCTGAGCAATACCTGTTTCTGTTTTAAAGCATTATTAACTGAAGCCATTGCTCACTGAGGACACTGTCCCTCCTCGGGGTCCCAGCCCTGCAGTGCCCTCTCTGCACCGCTCTTAATGCCCTTTAAACTGGCAGGGTCCACTTCGGTCAACGTTAAGTGAGGCAGTACTGAATCTATTTCTGAGCTGTTTCTAAGTAAAGCGTCTCTAGCCCAGTGGAGAAGAGGAAAGATTTTATTTTTTCACCGCTATGGCTTTCAATTCTTGCCAGTTGTCCATTTTCTTCCATAGGATCTGTTCCATATTAACTGCCGTTAATAAATCAAATTGTTCTTAGAATCAAGATGGCCGCTTCCCTTCCCTCCACTATAAGACATCTCTCTTTCTGTAAGCGGGTTTCCTGGAAAATAACTTTATTTTATTAGAGTACTCACTCCATTTTTCTCTTCTGATAAATGCACGTCAAGGAACAACACTTGCCTTTATGGTGCCTTTTCAAGAGCAAACTTAACAGTTCAAGGAAAGTATTTACCGAATGCATTGAAAAGCACATACCTTTGCATTATTTATTGTAAGATACCAATAACTGTAAAACGCAGAGTATCTCTGGACATAAATTAGTGATGTTAGGAAACACTAGCCTCTTCCCAGTGTCCTGGAACCGATTAGAAGCGGCAGCAGAGACGCAGGCGCTCCTCGCATCCCCCGTGCTGGGGCTACCGCCGCCTGGGTTGCACCCAAAAGGCGAAGGAAAGCATCGAGTGCACAAATCCAGCCCAAAATCTGCTTTTTCAGCTCGGACGGGCAGTAAAGTATCACCCGCTGGAGGGGCAGGCAGAGGAGCCAGACCCTTCCCGCGCGATGCCTTTGGGCTCATCACCTCCGGAGCCCCGCGGCCAGCGCTGGGGCCGTGGCCACGGGCCCGGGAGGGTCCTGAGCCGCCCCAGGGGCGCCCACCCAGAGCCCCCAAGGCCGGGGCTGGACCCGGCGCTCCGGAGCATCCTCCTCTTACTTTGTGCCCTGCCTGGGGTAATTTTTTGAACGGTCCGACCCCCTCCCCAGCCCCTGCAGCGGGGAGCGGATGCCAGAGAGGGGTCCGGACCAGCCACTCCACCAAAATATCCCAGTTCCCTGCAGAAATCCTGGGAAATTCGTGCACAAAGCCGAGCAATCTCTCACGCAGGCGACTGAGCCGGGCTCCCAGCGCTGCCGCGCTCAGGCACGGGTAGACGGGTGCGGCTCCGACTTTGGGTTAGTTACAGATATTCCCACCGCCCCAGTTTTACTTTTTTTCGGTCGGGTTCTCATTTCCCATTCTAGACGTGCAGAATTATTTAACAGGGCTGCTTCAAAACCCGTCCACTTATCAATTCACTCCACTTATTTTGTCCCAGCACATTACCTAACCATGTCAACATATGGATTTTTTTTATCTCACCGCCCTGTGTAGACAGCCTTATCAGGCTATTTTTAAATCTGGGTATGCTATGGCAGCGGTATTGGTTTCAGCACTTGATGTTCTCTCTGTGCTAATAAATACAGATCAGCTATTAATACTGATTTTTTTTAGGATCCATTAGCCTCGCTTGGCGCAGCGGTGGCCCGGCACTGCCGCCCTGCCTGACCTCTGCTCCGAGGGGCATTGCTGGCCGGCCCTGCCCTTGGCGATGGCCCGGGGAGCAGGGAGGGGGCCACGCCAGACCCCCAGCCGGGCAAGCAGAGGGTCAGGCTTTAAGGCAAGAAGGGTGATCTGAAAAGGAAGGGGAGATTTATTCTCAGATGAAAGACAGTTGCCTGTTTTAAAAGAGGTTTTTGCAATCCTGGGTAGTTTTGACTGGTTTGTCCTCCTGGAAGAAGCTTTAAAATCCATGTTGTAAACCCAAATGCGGGTGAACTCCAATCTATGGGGCACACAGTCTCACAGCAGGAGGTGTGAGTTTATCTCACAGCAGTTGTCTGAAGTTTTGGCGGCTTTTTCAGACGGCGGCAGCTAGAAACCACAAATAAATCGGTAAATGGCTAAAAAGTGGCCGCAGAGGTCTCTGGAGCAAGCAGAAGGTTCAGCTGGACGGTGGCAGCTTGTCCTCCTGAACATCATTTTTTCCCTGGTGGTGGTCACGCGAAGTTGCTGCCACGGGAGCTTTGACTGGGGTTTGCTTCAGGGTGTTTAAAGTAATAGAACTCCTGTACAAGGGTTTGTACCGGGGTGTTGGGGAGGTGGAACCACGGGGGGTTGCCGCGCTGTTCCTTCCCCTGTGCCGGGGTCCCTGCCTCCACCATCGTGCCCACCGTAATGGTTTTAACTATGTGTGTGGAATGGCAGGTCGAAGAAAAGGCTATCTGTCCCCAAATACAGATGGATTTATCCTAAATGCATGAACAGCAATTTCCAGCTGTCTTTCCGTACATCACCCAGTGGGTGGAGTTTATCTTGCGGACCAGGGGCTTGCATAGTTTTGTTAAAAAGTAGTAATCTGCCGTTGTTCTGTGCTACGGCATGTGAGAAGTATCTGCAAAGGATTAATCTTTGTCTTAGCTACCGAGGGGGGAAAAAAAAGGATGTGCTTTGCATTTTCTTTCCTAAGCTGACACCAGATAAGCTAAATTGTTAATTCTGATGCTGCTGTAAGAGAAGAGCAACGCATTTCTCTGCTGGTGGCTTTATAAAAAACGTGAGAAATCTCAGAGTTGTGCACTGTCCCCAAATGGCAAGTGGATTCGAGGGCTCTGGCAGGGGGTGGCCGGGGGGAGCGCTGGGGTTGCCCGGGAGCTCAGCGCCTGAGTGCTGAACAATCAGGTGCCTGCCCAAAATCATTTCAGAGCAGTGGAGGTCTTGGGGCTGCGAGCGCAGCGCCCGGGGCAGCCCCCCGGGACCCCCCCGGGACCCCCCGGGTGCTGGCCGTGCCGGGGCGGCCGGCGGCTCTGCGGCCAGCCCCGCGTGTCCTGACGCTTGCTTTCTCTCTGTCGCTGCCCACCCCTTCCCCAGCCTGCAAACGCAAAGAGCAAGAGCCCAGCAAAGAGCGGAACAACTCCCAGAAGAAATCCCGCCTGGTTTTCACGGACCTCCAGCGCAGAACGCTTTTCGCCATCTTCAAGGAGAACAAGCGCCCTTCCAAAGAAATGCAGATCACCATCTCCCAGCAGCTGGGCCTGGAGCTCACCACCGTCAGCAACTTCTTCATGAACGCCCGGCGGCGCAGCCTGGAGAAGTGGCAGGACGACCTGAGCTCCGGGGGCTCCTCCTCGGCCCCCAGCACCTGCACCAAAGCGTGACGGGGAGCGGCCGGCGCGGCGCGGCGGCGAGCGGCTTCGCAGCGGGGCCCTTCACTGGTGACTTAAAGCACAATCCTCCCGGAGCCGAGCCCCAGCCCGGCTGTAACACAGGACCCTTCTTACGGCTTTTAGTCAGTCTTAGCAGGCGCAAGTTTAAAATTAACCTCTTCTATTACAATACTATGCTCAGGACAGGCGAAGCAGGTCTGAAACGTAGGGGAGGGCGTTCGCGAGGCGAGTTTCTCCTGAGCCCCGAAGAGCCCCGGGCGGCGCGGTGCCGCTGCCAGCCTGGGCAACCCGCCCGGGCCCGGCGCTTGCCACGTGAGAACGGAGCACAAAGTCTGACACGTAGACACTAGAGAACCCGAGAACCCGTTTTTACAACTCAGGCATGGTTTATGTTAAGTGTTTTAGGGGAAAAAAAAAAAAAAAAAAAAAAGAAAACGATCAAATCTAAGGGGTTTTTGTTTGTTTTTTTTTGTTCCTGGGGTTTGCTTTTTTTTTGTCTTTTGTTTATTTTTCAGTTGGTTTAATTTGACCAGCGAGTATAGCTTGCTCTTGGATCGGAAAAATCCAGTTCACTCGAGCTCAAAGTATCAAGCACAAAGCCAGTAGCGACAGCGGCCGGCCCGCGCCGGGCTCGCCGCGGCGACTCCGGAGGCGCAGCCGCGGGTGCCGAGGGCGGGCGGGGGCCCCCGGTGACCACACGAGCCTCACGCACACTTGGCCGGTTGTCACAAGTTCGGTGTTTGCACACTCAGGAGGTCAGTCTAACTGCTACGGGACATGGAGCAAACACAACCTTTTGAAAGATCTAGATTTTTTTAGGTCGTTAGTACGTCCTTTTTAGTTCCCAGGAATCTAGTTTCTCCTCGGCGGTGTCCTCGTTACCGAAACGCGGTTAGCGTTCGATGTATTTTTGTTCATTTTCTCGGTATTTTACGCTACTTTCGCGCAGGAAAAAAAAAAAAAAAAAAAAACCAGAAACAAGCCCTTCAGATGCCACCGACCGTTTTAGATGTGCCGCGTATGACTTCGCTGCGCCACCTAGATCTATCGCATCCCTAAGTTCCTTTTAGCCCGCGGCCGCCCAAGCCGGCGGGAACACAGCACACCAAAGAGACGGGACTACTGCAAGCCAAAGATGTTTATCCCTCGCCACCTCCTCTTCGTCGTCGCCGGCGCGGGCGGTTGGCGGGCGCCGGGGAAGCCTCGCGAACGCCGAGCCCGCTCGCCGGCCCCCCCCGAGCACCGGCCCAGCCCGCGGCCGCGGGCCTCTCGAGACACTTGAGACTTTTTTTATGTACTACTTAATCGAAACCAAAGAAGCGTTTTTCTGCACCTACTTCTTCTGCAACAAACTGTTCCATTTAAAAATAAAATAAAAATTTAAAAAAAAAAAAAAAAAAAAAACAAGGAAGCGCGTCAGGAAGCAAACGAGTAACACACTGTGTTTTGACAGACATCTTGGACGTTTTAGGAAGCAGATCTCAAAGAAAGGGTTGACAAGAACGAGAACAAAGCAAAGCCAGTACGATTGCTGCTTCATTTGACAACTCAGTCATCTTAAAGTTGAAGATTGTCTTTAATTTGTGCCTATGCAGTTTTTTCAAAAGAACAAGGAACAGAGCAACCAAAACCTCAACAGCTACAATACCAAAGATGAGGATTCTCACCACTTGTGTTTCAGTTCATTACCTCCTCTTGCACGACTAAATGCGTATAGCACCATCGATCTCTGTACAGGTAACCCCTTCTGTTTCTTTGCGCAACCGAAAGGGTGGGTTTATTTATGTTTTTCCTGTTTCTGCCCCACATGGGATCTCTCCAAGAGCTGCATGGACTCCAAGTGCAAGATGTTGGGATACTACGCTGGTACGTCTCCTCTCTCCAGAGCCACGTAGGAGAAACTTGTTGGTTGGATATGACTTGTTGGGTCGGGTAGAGTTGGTCTCCTGTACACCTAGAGCTCTGAACAGCCACCCCTCTGTATGCGAAATCAGTTGAGTAACCTACACCCTTCTTTCTCTTCCCCAGGGATAAAATTTGCAATATACATGTGCCAGTTTATGTCACTGTAAGTGCTGAGCACCGCCACAGCCTGGCTCACCGGATCAGATCCCGATCTGAACCAAAATTAACGCTTCAGCAGTTCGTGTGGCAGTTCAGTAGTTCGTTTTGATGCATTAGACACGTTGTGGCGGTTGATCAAATCGCAGTGATCCGAATCGTGACATGCAGACCCAGGTCCAAATTTATCTTCAGAGCTGGAGCACAGCGGTTCCGTTTTGCTCCATCTCTACCTTTGAACGAGGGCTTCTTTTTAACCGCTTTGCAAAACTTCTGCACTCATTTTCCAATGCTTACATTAAAAAAAAATAAATAAAAAAAAATAAAAAGGAAAGAAAATTAAAAAGCCTCGTCTGCTCAGGACAGGAAAGGTTTCTGAAAAGTAAATTCAGGAGCCTCACTGACAGCACATCCCAGCTCTGGGAATCAAAACATCCTTCAGCATGGATTTCCAGACAGATCGTGCATGATTCGAAAATGACCCAAAGAAGCCTCGTAGTCAGACATGGAACAAAGCTGCCAAGAAATGGTTCGGGTCTGGGCTGAGTAGCTGAGCCAGAAGCACTGAGCCCGCGCGCTGGGGGGGGAGCAGCTGAAGGAAGGAAGGTTTGCCTTCGTCCCCCCCCCCCGGCCAGCCTCCCCCTGCGCGGTCTGCCCGCGGCGTTGCCCTCGCCGGAGGGGTCTCACGCCAAACGCGGGGCTGGGCACGGGCCACGCGTCACATTCGGGTTTTACCGCCCGCGTAGAGGCGCGGGGAGCCTGCCCTGGGCTCCCCGTGAAGCCCGGCAGCAAAGACCTGGGCTTTTTAGTTCTGTCCAGAGTTCATCCCAAGAGCTGTAAGGATCAATTACTGAACTATTAAAAAAAAATGCGTCTTCAACGAAACCGGTAATTGTCCCCAAATTGTGGAAGCTTTTGTTATGGCTCCGGTTTTTGCCTCGATCTTTCACACGTTGATGAGCGGTCTCCCCCTGGGACGATGTCGTTACACCGAGTGGCGCTGGGGCTGACCCGACTGCCCGCGCTACGGCTTTTGTTCAGCTTCTCTGTGCTGGGGGCTGCAGATGTCTCAGTGCCCACGTTTCCTCCATATTTGTCAAAAGTCATTTTCATCTCAACGTCGGAAAATCCTGCTGCATTTTTTGGTCCCTGCATCTTTCATGGCCCTGTGTTACGTCTTCCATTTCACTGTCAACTCTTGTAGGCTTTTAGGTAGGAGCTATCTCAGAAGAGGAGTGTTGATAGCGTATACTGTGGGTAGATATATTTGTATGTACACGTATGAGCAGAATATGTGCTATATTCTGCCCATACTAAAAAAAAAAAAAACCTCAAATAGATATGTTACGTTTATATACCATATATTTATGAATCTATAGAGCTGTGTAATGTAACTTGTTCCTTTTATTTATTCTGATACGAAAGACTAGTATGTACAGATCGTATCCCAGCACCTTCTGTACCGTGTACTTGGAGTTACTACCATGGGCACATCCGAGATGAATTCAACTTTCAAGAAACCTTGGATATTGCTTAATCATCCGTGAAGGAACAAAGAATGTGCTCGATGACTTCGGTTGAATAGCTTTATTCTGGATCTCTCTTACCCAAAGCTGAATCCAAAGACCTGAGAAGGACTCGACCAGCAAACTACGCTCAAACCTGCATAAGGGAACAGGGATCTCCTCTTCCAAGGCAAGACACGGTAACGACACGGTATTGCAAAGACTGTGCTAGCTGCGGACGTAACCCGATGGTTTTCTTGCTTGTCACAACGCCTAAGTATTTTTAAGACACGGGGGAACTTTATACTTGGCCTCCTTTATATTTATTAAGGGGAATTTTTATTGTTTAAATTTTTTAAAAAGGCAAAGCTTAAAATGGTTTTATTTTTTTCCAGACATTTGTGGGTTTTAACCCAATATATTATCTATCAGTAATGTAATTTATTTAATTTAGTCTTAGAGTAGGTCCTGAAATCTCTGTTCAGTCTAAATCCCATTGAGTTTCATTTTAGCTTTAAAATTCAGTGGGAGTTTTGCCTGAACACAGACTGCGGGATCAAGCTCCAATGTTAGTTATTTGTAGCTATTTAATTTAATCATTTGTTAATTAATTTGGGATTAATTTTGCTTATTTATCCATTTTACCGTTGTAGAGCATCAGAGATGCTAAGCCTATGTTAGTAAATACGTTTAAAAGTTAGTATTGCTTTATAGAGCAGCCAGGTTCTGTTACAGACAGGAGAAAAACAGCAAGTTACATAAAACAGGAGTCTAGTTTTAATGTCTTCTTTTAATTAATTTTAATTGTTTAAATATCAAAGTTTAAATTATTTAAGTTAATCTCTTCCCATGTGATTAGAAAGTGAGACGTACCTTTATTATGGCACATAAAGCCTTCATCGTATAACTTATTTATTTAACTTATTCATCATTGTCACCTGAGGGTGCCCTTGTAGAGTTTTTATTTTTTATTTAGAATTACCTTTAAAGCACTACAGCTGATTTTCTGTAAGAACAACAGAGTGAAATTTGAGGACAAGCAATGAATACTCAACCTAAAACTGTGCGTTCAGAAACAATAGGAAAAAAAAAAAAAAGACACTGGGATACTTTGCCTGAAGTTTGTGGCTTCTTAAAACTTAAGCTGGGGGAAAAATAATACATGCCAAGCAAAAAGAGAGAAAAGAAACCCTTAAACTAGCTGCTTCCAAGAATGAACTTCTGTGTGTGTAAAAAAAAAAAAAAAAAAAAAAAAAATGAAAAAAGGAAAAAAAAAAAAGGGAAAAAAGAAAAAAAAGAAAAAACCTTTCTATTTCTAGTGAGAACCAAAGAGGCTACCTCACTGACTTTTTCCATTTGTAATTTTAATCGTGTTGATGATACCAAAGATACCAAAGATTTCTTTCTCTGTGCGGTCTGCATTTTGCTTGTGCTCTTTCATAGTTTCAGCTGTTCTCTCCGACACGCAGTAACGTACAGCCGCAACCCAGGTACCCAGAGAGACACTGCTCGTGGAGGCTGCCACTTCTGGTGACGCCGTTTTCTGTGTTTCCCTTGCGCCTTCCCGCCAGCCAAAAACCCTCGGAGGCACGAAACCGCGCCGCGCGGAGCGGTTGTGTTGACCTGCCGACGGATCCGGGCGCGCTCCGCGCTCCTCGTTGGTGGTTTTCCCACAAAAATCAATTTTTCCTCGAGTTAGCAGGGAAACGGGGCTACGTCGAGCTCCACTGGTATCACCCTCCTAAGCGATTGCTTAAGAGTTGGCGGGCTCTCTCTGGGGAATTCGCGGTGCCCGCTGGCGTTTGTTCCTTTCAGCCGGGTTTATCCCGTTGGTGGGACGGCAGCCCGAGCTCCCCCGAGCCGAGCCCACCCCCCCGG